TGTCTCGCCTAGTTCTATCCTAGTTTGACTGTAATTATTATGTTGATCAAGGCACAAAAGCATATTTCACTTAAAGTGACAGCATTCATGCAGTGCCATTGGACTGTATTTGGATGAATACAAAAAAAAAAAATGTCTAGGTCATGAGTGAAGGATCTACATACTGAGAATGAATAGCATGTGACTTCCTCTAGCATTACTCAGTATTTTAACTTGCTTTAGGCTAGTTTGGAAACCTGTTTTTTTCTTCCATGACTTGGATTCAACTGTGCAAAGGTGGCCACACACCTTACAATTATCGTACAATTTCTTTTGTCCCGTCATCGCACCCAGCGTTCAATCTCCGCTCAAATAGCCCATCAATAATCATTCGTTCGCAATACTACCTCAACGATTTTCGTCCATCGCCACTAATCCATCGATTTTATTCGTTCGTTTCAACAAAAGTTTTCTAGTCTGCCCAATCGAGGAAATTCGGCCAGTTGTACAGTAATTGCGATTGTGCACTTCCCATCAACTGGCCGATTATCGTACGACAAAATAAATTGTACGATAATAGTAACGTGTGTGGCCACCTTTAGGGTTGCCAGTTGTCCTTTTTTAGTAAGAGATATTCCTTTTTTTTAGGGATGCACCGATGCCGGTATTTCGGTATCGAGTACCGATATTTATTTATATTAGTCAACACCAATACTGGAAGTCCCATTAAGGAAGCCAAGCGGTGTGTAATGACTCGCCACCTGGCTTCTTGATTAGCCAGGAAGCCAGGTGGTGTGTAGAGACTCGCCACTCGGCTTCCCGATTAGCAAGGAAGCCGTCACCATGGATCCGGCTTCCCGGCCAATCAGAAAGCTGGGTGCCACATCATTACACAGCGCCTGGCTTCCTGATTGGCCAGCTTCCCGACCAATCAGGAAGCCGGGCAGCAAGTCATTACGAGTACTCGCCCAAATACTCGGCATCGGCACCGATACGAGCATCGGTATCAGAGCATCCCTACTTATTTTGTTGAAAATCATGTCAGGGTCTACTTTTAGGTAGATGCAAAAAGGAGTGATGTTAAATGCACCGTCTTGTAAAGTGGTCATAGATGACAAATTGGTAGTGTGTACCAAATACCATGTTCTCACAATTTGTGTGTGTTATCAGTGATTGATGGCCCTAAAATGATTGCTCTCACTGCGACGTTCGCGGCGATATGTAACATGTGTAGCGCAATTGTAATTTTTGCGCGCTGGGGCACCGGACGCGTATTTACGTTTATAGGCGCGTAAACGTGGGGGTGGGGGAGTTAAACATTTTGGGGGGGTTTTTTCCCCTTTTTTTATATGTGGCTTTTATTTTATTTTATTTTTTTATGTGTTACTTTTCTTTTTTTTTATTTATATTTTTTTTTTTCACTTATTGTTATTGCTATTATATAGGGGGATAACAACCCCCTATATAATAGCAAAGGCACACTGACAGGTCCTCTTTATGGAGATATTAGGGGTCTCTAGGACCCCTAATATCACCTATGGACCCCAAAAGAAGCTGATAAAGCAGAGATCTGCTTTATCAGCTTCTTCTCTCTCCAGATGACTGACAGGTGAATGCGGAAGTGATGTAACACACATCACTTCTGCATTCACAGCCCGGACGGGGATCAGCAAGGAGCTGATCTCCCGTCCTCCTCCTCCTGACGCCCTCGGAGCCGGTCCCGGGATCCAAGATGGGGCAGCGGATCCCGGGAATCAAGGTGAGGGGTCAGGGGGAAAAAAAAAATGAAAAAAAAAACCGGAAGCGCCGAGCGGGCGCGGGGGGGGGGGGGATGGGTGCCGCGAACGAGCACATATAGGCGATCGGCGGGCTATGGACCCGCTGATCGCCTATATGTGAAACACCCGGTACCGGGTGTTCGCATTGGACGGGTCTTTTCTGCCCGTGCGTGCCCGCTAGGGGGCGCGCGCGAGCAGAAAAAAATTGCCGTCTGGAGACGGCAACCCGCAGATGCTGCAGTGCCGTCCGTCCGTTTTTTTACTACGGGCGGATGGCAAGAGGTTAACCTTTTAGTTTAGTGTCGCTTTAAGGGCCTATTCACACCACATCCAGATCTACAGACCAGACCAGATTGTTTCCAGACCCAAAATGCATTCTAATGTATCCCTATGCTATTTTTGGCCTCTGTTCACACCAGTGCAGTCCGTTCCAGACCAGAAAAATACTGCACGTCTCATTTTGTCAGGTCAGGAATGCACTGGAACTGCGGGCCGGTTCACACCATTTTCCGGACCAGGTTTTGTACACAGACCAGGACCTCAGCTGGTGACAACAAGTCTCGATGGTGGCATGTGTGCACCAGGAAAAAAAAAGATTCAATGTTTTTCTTGGTATGGCTTATAATGCAGTGGAGAGCCAATGTCCAATCCGGGAGCCAGAAGGATTATTTTAAAAGTCGGCTCCATTGACAAAAAGAGAAAACCTTAAAAGTTAGGCACCAGCTGTAATTTTTAAGGAGTGCTGGTTCCTGGGATTTGTCCTGCCCTGCTGTAGGCGTACCTGAAGCCCTGTAATGCATACCTAGCAATGCTATAGGTCTTTAACTAAGTACAACCAGCACTGTGCAACTGCATTTAGAGGACCTTTCCCAAATAACCATGCAGAAGTTATATAATCAGTTGTTGGCCATACACTGGCAGACTTTCATATCAATGTTCATACAGAATATCTCATCAGTCATTCATTATAGCATGTCACTCAAATTTCGTTTAATTTTCACTAGAGCTGCAGCTAACGGATTATTTTCAAAATCGATTAGTTAGCCGATTATTAAGTTCGATTAATCGGTTAATCGGATAAATAATAAAACAAATTTAAAAAAATGGCTCCAGTGATGGACTACTAGTTTGTATTGAGATTGCACTCCATCACAGGAGCAAGCTTGGAGCGGTGGAAGTAAAAAAGAAAAAAAATAGTGTGGTGTGCAATATAGTGAAAAGGAAAGTGTAAAATTATAAAGCAATGAATGCAGAATGGCACCAACTATAGAGGACTACAAATACCAGCAATACATTATACAGCACAATGCCGAATATCACCAGCTATAGAGGAATGCAACAAATCCCAGCAATAATCAATAATCGATTATGTCGATTAGTTGTTGCAGCCCTAATTTTCACATGTGATTTTGGAATAAATGGCGTTTCCTGCACAAAAACCACATTTACTGTTAGAATTTAATTTCTTAGAAAATGGAATGAACCAAAAACATTTTTTTAAAGGGAATTCTACTTGTGTGTGGCCAGCTTAGTAAGCTTTTCATGTAGTACCAGATTTAAGTTCGGAATCCAACATGTAATTTATATATTTGTTAAAGCCCAGGGGTGTAATCGTCTTTTTCTGTTTGTGTCGTATACTTATGCGGATGTTGTACTTTTCTGTGCTGCTTGTACCAGGAACCGCATTTTTGAAGAAACCTCTTCTGATAACTCTTTAGTTTTTGTTTTTTTAGAAAGGCAACACAGTACTTTACCCCAAATTAGTTCACTGGAATGCCAATTGGAAGACCCTTTATTGGGACAGAACCTCCATTGCAGTGTAATAAGGGCAGAGATTGTGGCAAAATGTGTACTTGTTCAATCATTAGGCAATACCCTTTTACTTAAAAAAAAAATAAAAAAAATCCAATGAGCGCAGCCTTTCTTGAGTCTTTTTTTTTCTGATTTCTCAAGAGATGGGTTCTTAGGAATCGTATGCTATAATAAAAAAAAAATTTCGCTTAAGAAGTTTAACCCTTGCAGTGGGGCAACACCTGCACTGCAAGGGTTCATTGGTCTAAGGAGGCAAATAAAAAGTTATACTCACCCAATCCCCCTTCACTGCAGTGACCTAAGGTCCCATAATACATCACTTTCTATACACCGCGTATAGACGTGAGGATGCTGAGAGACATAACATCACTGCAGTGGAGGAGGAGACTGGCTGGAGGGAGCAGTAGGCCAAAATTAGCAGTTAACCCCTGCAGTGTGGGGGTAGCCCCACTGCAAGGGTTAGAAAATGTGCCTGGAGTTCTTTTTTAATAAAGGCATGCCTAGAAACTTGCAAATCCTCTTTACCACTGCCATTCTGTTCCCTCTGCTTTAAGAGCTGTCATTATAGCAAACATTGCTTTGGTTGTTTTCAGCTTGTCTACATCTGCACTGTAACTGCAGACAGGGAGTGAGAACTAAGAAGGTATCTACTTCATCCCCCTTTTTGGATTCTGTGAGATCACACACTGTTAGAAATGGGTAGCTCTTGTACTGATTTTAGCCTAATTTTGTCCCCCCTTTCCCCCTGTACATGTAATCCCAGAGAGCCAATTTTGGAAGAGAGGATTGGCACCCACAGTGATCCCAGATGGCTTCTTTGTTGTTAGTCCAGGTCTGGAGACTTGTGCTCTCAAAATGGTAGCTTTTAGTAGATTGCGAGCTTCATTGATTGTGAGCACATTGCAGCTTTTCTATCCATCATTTATGACAACTGACAGTGAATCAAACACCTTTTGCAGATCTGATACCTTTCTTGTTTTCACTCCTTGTATTCAGTTACAGTGAAGACGAGCCGAATGCAATGCTACTTTTTGGATATTAAGAAAGCTAGCATTTTGGTTTTTTTCTGTCAACAGGGCGTGATGCTCATATTGGTCTCATTTTATTGATTTTTAGGCTGGGTATGGCCACCGTTCCAAATAGTAATATGTGATTATCTGTGGAATAAGGAAGCTGTCAGTAAAACATTCTACTGTTACTGTCTTCTTAAATGGAATCCATTCTTCTGAGCCACAAAACCTTTCACTTATTTATTAAATTGTCTTTTATCCAAGCCAATTTCATTTTTAAGATATTGCTTGATGACTTGGCTTAAAAAAAAAAAAAAAGACTTTTTTTTCTTTGGGGGTATATAGTCAAACAATAAGATAATTTCGGATGTGTTTTCTTTTTAGTTCATTTATACTGATATACGTTGTTTTATTTTTGTAGCGGGCGTCTGACGAGCTTCTCTCTTCTGGTATCGCTAACGGGCCTTTTACCATGAGCCAATCCACTCCAGCTACAGGTACAGTGAGTCTGAGAGCTAGCGTGCTGACCTTTTGCAGGCCTTGAACCAAATACATCATTCATTCAGCCTTATTTCAGCCTTCAGATTTTTCTGATACAGCAGAAGGAATGAATACATATTCTGGAAGCTCAGAAAAATGTTTTTGTAACCTTTGCTGTTAGTAGTTGTTGTTGTAGGTAATACAACAGAGTGCCATAATATCCAGAGTTCTCTAAATCCAATTGATCCCCAACTATAACTTTACACAGAGTTGTGGCTTTTGTGGATACTTGAAATGACATTTAGAAAGAAGCCCCACTGAAAAGTCTGTCAAGCAGCATTATTAGATTAAAGTTGAAGTCCAATCATTTTTAGATTTTGCCTTACCTGGGTCCTCATTGATCAACATGCTAATGAGGTGTTTAAATACAACCTTTCCAATTTCATTACATTATTTTAGAACCAGTGAACTCATCACGGAGCCTCTTTACTTCTCTATGCAATGCAGGCAAGACCTTGGCTACTAGAATGGGCCAGCAAGGTGCCGCATATAACTTCCTGAAAAAAATCACAGCACCTACTGCCTCAGTACTCCTCACAAGAGCCCTCAGCCCTGATGCAAGCAGTGGGTTGACTCTTGGGAGTGGTTATGCAAATATCAATATGTCTGGATGAGTGGGTGTTTCTAGGCTTACTGCATTTGAATGCAGACTGCCTTAGTTAAGGGCCTACATATGCTAAATCTTTATGATTGAAATAACTGAACGGAATTCCAGTGAATGAAAGTAAGAATGGGAAGGAAAAGGCTAGATGGTGCTGGACATCCTCAAGACAGGAAATAAGGTGGGTTCTATTTGACTTACTACAGCTTCTAATGCACATTGTGAGAAGCTGTACAGTGAAATCAGGCTAAGAAATTTTGGTGAAGGAGAGGAGAGTGTACAGAGAGTGAAGGCAAAGCTGAAGTTCAGATTTAAGATTGAAGATGGAGATGACCGTTCACAGGGAAATGCAGTGTTTTGGGTCAATTACATTTTTGTTTTCCAAATATCTAATCCATGAAAAAGAGGATATTCAGAGTACTGTGGGTTAACTAAAGAGAGAGCACCACAGTTTCTGCCTGCCTTGTGGCTCTGTTTGTTTGCTTGAAACATCTTACCGAGGCATACAATAAAAGAAAAGCCATTGGGTTGAGTCATTGCTGAGTCGTCCATTTCTGTTTGTAAATTGCAGCTTTAGCTACAGAGCCTGTAAACAAAAGAGTGCAAACTAGAATTATGCAGTTTTTCATATTTACGTAACAAAAAAAAAATTGTAGATGTTTTTTTAAAAATTTGATGACCATAAAAAAGACATTGCTTGTCGGCACACTTTTTTAGTCTCTGGGTACATCAGACTTTTACAGTGCTGAGCATGCTCCCCTTCATTAGTCTCTGCACCTTGGACTTTTCCTATACTATGCATGTGCTACTTCATTAGTGTTAGCACCTTAGACTTCAATGCGCATGTGTCGCTTCATTAGTTTGCGGGTACCTTGGAATTTGTCTTCTGTTGTACATGTGGGTGGTATAGTCCCTTTGCTCTATGTGGCAAAGTCAATCATCGGACAAATCTCTGCCTGCTGCTCATGAGGAAAGGACCCAAACCAGGGGTTAGCAAAACACTTGGGGGGAAAAAAGGTATTTTATGGCTATTTTTTTTTTTTTATATATTCTTTATTTCAAGATTTTTTTTTTTTTTTAAAGAGGTCCAGTAGGACCATGTCCTGCAGTGCTTAGCATGTTGGCCTCGTCCCGACCAGACCAGGTCCTCCATCTTTTCTACCTCCCCAACTTTATGAAGCCACATGGACACCGTGGGTGTCTGTGTCGATTTCCACAGTGCTGGGATACAGCAACGTGCCGCGTTCAGGAGGTGTGGGAGGATAGATGCCTTATAGCTTTTCCTGGGGAAGGAGTTGTGATGGAGGAGAAAAAAGGCAGGGTCCTGTGGGATGTCCCTATCGGTGAATTTGGCTAGTAGGGACTTAACGGAAGTCCAGAATGGGGTCACTCTGGGGCAGGTCCAGAAGATATGAAGCAAGTCTCCTGGGGCTTCATTACAGCGCCAGCAGCTGTTGGGTACAGAGGGGTACATCGAGTGAAGGAGCTGGGGGGTCCTGTACCAACGAGTAAGAAGCTTAAACCCGGATTCCTGGATTTTCGTGTGAATGGATGATTTAAAGGTGAAGTAGTGGATTATGGCTATTTTTAATAATTAAGCATATGGGTGTAAAACAAACTATAACATCTGTGCCATTCATTATATTTTGCCTTTCCATCTAGTTTAAGTTGTTGCACATGAACACTTGCTGCAGCTTTGCGGAATATAAAATAAGGGATCATTGACCGCTATAATACCGTGTTTCCCCGAAAGTAAGACCTACCCCGAAAATAAGACCTAGCACTATCTTCAGGGATTTCTGTAATATAAGACTTACCCCGAAAATAAGACCTAGTTCGGTGGTAGGTATTATATTACAGAGATCCGCTAGGTCTTACTTTCGGGGAAGCGGCACATAACTGTGTAAAAACCGGCCGCAGCTCCCGCCCCGCATTACAAGCGCTTTCGGGACCTTGCAGGGTCCCTTTGGTCAATGCTGATGCTGGGACCCTGCGAGGTCCCGAAAATGCTTGTATCCATTCTGACAACTTGTTCAATAAAATGAGCATTTGGTGATTCCAAGAGGATCTTCAGTGTGCTGGTGACATTTTTCTTATTATCTTATGCATACAGCGGTGCCATCTGCAGTCATTACACTTCCCATTACATGGGATCTCCGGTAAGGAGTGCGACAAGAACCTTTCTACTTATCCTGTGACAGCTATAATAGCCACAAAGAAACCCTTTTCAATACACCTGAAATGTTTAGTAAGTGCTGTAAATATAACTGAAAATTATACCCCCTGTTTGTTGGGTCCGGCAGTTATTTAAAAAGATAGACAAAGTTGGGGGCCCCTTTTGAATATGCTCTAATCTAAATGACCAGTGAGAAAGGAGAAAAGGGGGGAGAGGTTGGCAATGTACCTTACTGACGAATGTGCCCTGCGGTCCGCTGCCAGAAATGCAAGTGGGTGTGTTGGGCAGCCCATTAAAATAGTTTGTCTTAACATAATGCAGGTTAACGTAACACAGCACAGTAGTGTGAATGGACCCCAAGTGATGTGTTACTAAGGCTGCTTTGTTTTGAACGGTTTGTGTACATTGCTATACCTGCTTATTTAGAAAGGTTTGAATAGCTTTTAATAACTAGATGTGATCCATACTTTTTTTTTTTTCAATGGAGGATTTTTGAAATTTGTTTTTTTTTGTTCTGTTTTTGTTTTTAAACATCCTTTATTTCAAGTTAACATCACTGTACCTTTTAGTACTTTGTTGGAAGAGAAATAGTGGTGAAATGTGGGGAGGATGTCAGAATGTAATCCAGTTATTATACTGATCTTTGTAAATAAACCCTTTACTGACATTTTGTTATTGGTGTGCTGTCAGCCCTTTATCAGCTGACTTTTCCATGTGCTTGGCAAGATACGCTTCTAAAAGGATCATTGCTCTTTGGCCCTCTGTCTATTTTGTTTTTACATTGTGTGGTCCCTCTTTTCAGTCTTCTGCATTAATTGCTACTAATGCCTTTGGGCTAATATACTGCAGGGTACATGTATCTGGCTTTGTGCAATTTGGAGCAATTTCTGACCGCAGTGTGGTTGCTCACAGAAAAACAAGTCCCATTAGCTACTGTGGCAGAGTGACTTGTTGCTGTCAATAAAATAAAAGTGCAATGTCTCCTAAAAATGTGTCAAATCTTGGCATCAGAGAACTCAACTCAAGAAAAAAACAACTTTTTGATCAGGTTTATCCCTTATGTGCAAGGACAGTCTCTGGCAGATGTGGCTCATTTGCCAAGATCTTAAATTTCCTTTTATTTTGTTTGTTAAACTGAATGTAAATTGTCAAAAAAACATTCTGATGTCAGTATTCAGGTATATGGTGCAGGGGTGTGGAAAATTTAGAAAAAACTACTTGTCCAAGGACTAAAGTGGGGGCCGAATCTACTTGTCCCTCATGACAATCTACTTGTCCCTCATGACAATCTACTTGTCCTGATACAAAAAAATCATTTTAACCAAAACCGTATTTAGTAGTGCTAAGAAGCACTTCTTATTGGTCAGTGCCGTCGGGTGACCGCGTTGACCAACGAGTGCTTGCAATTTGCCAGCGGAATTCACAATACATGGAACAGGTACAGATAGTACACCCGTACTGGTGGACGGGAAGGACCGTTTGCCGAAAGGTAAGTATAGTGGGAGGGAGATTTGTGCGGGTAATTCCATTTTCCCAAATTACGTGGGAAAGTGAATTTACCCTTTAGGGTTGGTGCAGACTTGGGAATTCCCAGGACGTGTGATCGTGTGCGTTTGCATAAAGCGGTTGCATCCGCATGTATGGGGTTACATCTGCGTAGCAATCGCTGAAAATCATTCCTAAAGTAAGCAGATAGTAAATATTTACTATGTCCTCATTCATAAATGAGCAGGAAGTGATGTATATCACTTCCTGTTCATTCATAACTGGGCACACAGTAAGCTTACTATGTCCTCAGTTATTTACAAACACAACGATCAGTACTGATTTGCTGAGTGTTTGTGCTCTGCTCTCAATTCTGACTGCTCCGTCACACTGCCTCCTCGGCCTTCTGGCCTCTCTCTTCTCCCCGCTCCGCCCCGCTTGGCATCCTAATAGCTTCTCTCCTCCCTGCTGAGTGCCGGCAGATGGAATGGCTCTGTGTGCCCTTGAATCCCCGCTGCCTCTGCTGTAGGGCAGTAAGGATCGGAGGAGACACAGAACGGTGCCCAGCGGAGAGGAGAGAAGCCAGGGAGGAATTTTTTTGGCCGTTGTTTTGGTATTATTCGCATTTTGCTCATAGTACCATTTTCGGCCGAAATTTCAATGCATCCCTAGTGATTAGTGGACCTTGGAGACAGTATTGTGCATATAATATTCCTGGCTGCTATTTTAAATGATGGTTATATACCGTATTTGCCAGCGTATAAGACGACCCCCTAATTTTCCACTTAAAACATAGGTTTTGGGCTATACTCGTCATATAAGACTACCCCACTTCCGAGGCAACACAATTTATGGTGTTGCCTCGGAAGTATGTAGCCGAAGCTACCGTAGATAAAGTATTACCGCACATCCAGCGGGCTGACAGATTAGGGATGTTCGTTTTGGGCCAGCTTGGCTCAAACGAACTAAAGGTTCACATTGTATACCCCGCGTAAAAAGTAGTCTTATACGCCAGCAAATACAGTAATTATACATTATAGGCAGCTGAGGAAGAACTTGCATTTAATGCAGTTGTGTATTCCTTAAAAATAATTACAGGTATTTTTACATACAAATTAGTATAGTTATCTAAATGTGCATTGATATTAACCTCTGTCATTCACTGCAAAGCAGCGCTCAGACTGGGAGAGGGAGGGGCAACAATAGGAGCCAGTCAGGCTGCTGCATGCACTTGTGTTGAGGGAGAGCATGCTGAGTAGAGGAGAGAGTAGAGTGAGAAGAGTTGTAGACTTTCCCAGAGTGTTACTGCACCTTCATTGTCCTCTCGGCAAGATCACACCACTGTATTTCTTATCTCTAAGGCTTCATTCACAGTTGCCACATGAGTTTTTGTCTTTATATAGAGGAAAGTCTGTCGGGATAGATGTTGTGTTTATGCTTCTAGAATCTAGATGCTTTTAGATGCTAGAATCTAGATGCTTTAAATTATGCTTGTTTACATACTTTTTGGTGCGTTTAGGATTTTAAAACCGGTTTCTAGGTGTACCTGACTTCTATTTTGTGAAAACACAGATAAACTGGCTGCATATAAAAACATCTAGACGCAAGGTGTGACTATATCCAATGATGCATGTGTTTACAAAAGCTTTTTAAACACATAAAACATCTAATTGCACATAGTGCAAATGAAGCCTAACAGATAGAGCAGTGTCACCTTTTTGGCGTGCTGTCTGACAGATTAATAAATTGCGAAAGAAAGGGGCCTGGACAGAATTGCAATTCCATTGGCAGATGAGATGGTTTACAAATGTATATTTTACTCTTTGCCTGAAGTTCAGTTTTACATTGTTAGAACAATATGTGCCAAAAATCTTCATAGCCTCTACATTCTTATCATGAAGTGCAGCATATGTTTACAGTACTGCATTCAGAACATGATCTCTAGATTCTGTGCAGTTGATGGTTATGCTGTGAAGCAATGGTCAGGGTTGCCCTCATCAGCTATGACAGCACAGAGTGGTAGAGAAAGAAGCAGCATTTTTACCGAGCATGTATTTTAAGGCATTTTCCATAAACAAATTTTAATATGTGGGGGTAAAAGACTAGAAAAAAAGTAGGACATTCATGTTCTCCAGGTCCATGAAGCTGAAGCGAAAAACAAAAACCGGACTTGAAGGATTATTAAACCCTCACGTATTTTTGCATATATCTACTCCTACCAAACAGTAGGTATAAGCAAAACCTTTAAAAAAAAAAGTGTACAAAAGGGTTAAAAGTTACCTGTGTCTTCACCGCGCGCTCCCGTCTGAAGATCTGATAATTCTCGGGCGGCCGCAAAGGATTATGGGCTGGGCGCATGCGCAGTTCAGATCTTTAGCCGGGAGACGAGGAGAGACACAAGGTAAGTCTATGGAGCAGCGTGCACCTGCACAGACTCCATGGGACCGGAAGTGCCAGGAAGAGAGGAGTCAGCGCTGGATCAGAGATGTGTACCAGCGCTGGAGGAACTCCTGAAACCTACAGTAAAGAAGACGATTTGATCAAGAGGCATCATTTAAGGTAAGTCCATACACTAGCATTGGGGGGTGGATTGCCACCTTTTTTAATTTGTCTTTTTGAAGTTCAGCTTTATATATTCATTTTTTTTGTTTTGTCTTCTGCTTTTCGGTGGAGGCAGAATTCTCTTATCTATTTGGGCATAGCTATTGTTTCTGGTTTTATCCTCACTTTTCCGCTTGAGCTATGCCAATCTGTCTCACAAACTATTTGCAGATTTTACGGCCTGGGATTCTCTCCTTCTGTCCTGGACTGGCAGACTTAATGTCCTAAAGATGGACATTCTTCCCCGACTCCTTTACAAATTCCAAACGGTTCCCATTTCCCTCCCCTACTCTTTCTTCGTCTCTTTATGCTCCGCTTCCATTTGTTTTATTTGGGGAAGGGAGTCCCCTAGAATCGGATATAAGACTCTAGTCAAACTGAAATCTTCTGGAGGCCTTGGTCTTCCAGACTTTTCTCTTTATCATAGGGCAGTGCTCTTAGTCCGTTTGTTGGATTGGTTTAAGTCTGGAGACTCTAAACCTGGGGTCTTGTTGGAATCAGCCTGCTCTCTCATTCCATTGATCTTCCTTGCCTGGCTCGAACCTGCGCATCGCCTCTCTTCCCGTTCCTCCTCCTTCTCCTTACTTCTTCCATTCTTAAAGTGACATTAAACCCTCAGATTTTTTAACATAAACCAATACTGTAATGTGCGCCTTCCTGTAATCCATGGTTGTTTCCCTTCTCTTTGCTCCTCTTCCTTTTTAAATCTGTATCTGTTCTCATGCTGGGCAGAACTTCTGTTTTGCAGCAGACTGCCTTGTCTCAGGAATGGATATATGGTGTCTGTGTGTAGGTTTGTAACCTGAGCCAGCACTACAGGAAGAGGCACTCAGCTGCAAAGGGAAGTTCTCCCCAAGCATGAGAAGACATGAGGATTTAAAAGGAAGAGCAGCAAAGAGAAGGAAAACAACCATGGATTACAGGAAGGCGCACATTACAGTATTGGTTTATGTTAAAAATCTGAGGGTTTAATGTCACTTTCATGACTGGGATCGACTGTTGTCCTCTACTGCTTTCTCCTCCAGACTAAGCCCTCTCACTCCTCTTCGTTATAACCCCCAGTTCCCTCCCGACATGTCATTCTCCTTAAGTGACCTCAGTGATGTCCCTCTCCCAAGTTAGACATGTTCTGCTCCCTGACTCTAATACATTAAAGCCCTCTTTTTGCCCTGTGTTAGGCCAAGCAATGGGTGTCTGGTTCACTTCACAGCGTTTGTCTGACTCGCTAAAGTCTCTGTCTCCAGGTAGAAAACTGAATCGCCATTTGACAGCTTTTGAACAATTGTGCTATTCTCCTGAACCACTGCCTAGAGCTATTTCAGAGCTTTATGGGCTTCTGAGATTGATGGGTTATGGCAGCAAACCACCTTTTATTGTAGCGTGGCAGAGGGATTTGGGCAGGTCATTTTCAGAAGTGGCTTAGGTCACCCGGAAAGACCATGTTTCCTCTATTTCTAATCACATCCAGGAAAGGAACTATAAATTGTTGGCTCGCTGGTATCGTTGTCACTCCACTTCAAATCTGGTTCTCTATGGCTTCTGACCTTTTGTTGGAGATGCCAGGAGCATAGGGGTAGATCTTTACATATATAGTGGGATTGCGCTCAATTACAGCCATTTTGGCAAATTCCAAATTTGATAACACTAAACCACCAACTAACCTGGATGCGTCTCCTGAGATTGCCCTTTTATCCATGCTCCCTGTATCCTTTTAAAGCATTAACCCCTTCATGACTGAGGCCCTTTTTTCAATTTTTGCACCCATGTTATATTCCACATTTTAGGCCTGAAAATGACGTAAAACCCCCCAACATTATATATTTTCTGAATGCCAAGACCCTATAGAATAAAATGGTGGTAGTTGAAAATTTTTATGTTGCGCAATATTAGCGCAACTCCTTATTAAACCCCAAAATTTAGTGACAAATTTAATTAAATGCCCCAAAACACAACAAATTACCCATTTTTTAAATGAAATATAAAAGATGAGATACGTCGTCAGTCACGAAGGGGTTAAAAAGAACATCCTCTGTCATTGGCACTGGATCTACCACCACTTCTAGCCTCACGGGATGGGCTGCCTGTATGAATGAACAAGAGCACATGAATAATTGATTGCTGAAGCCAAGTGACTGGTCACTCTTCCCTCACTGCAGTGTCGGACAGCTGGTTTTTATATAGGTCTTCGGACGATTTCCAAGCGCCGTTGGCTTAACGTACTGATCTCTTTTTGCTCTAGCACGGTCTTCTTTCTTATTTTATAAAAATGTTGAACCTACCACCGGCTACGTCTTTTCTGCCTCTTCCTACTTCTCCTTTCTTTTCCCCTCCTTGTCTCTTAATTGTACCCTCTTCCTCCTTCCCTCTGATTCTCCCCATTCTTTTTATGTTATTATTATTGTTATTGCTTTTATTATTGTTTATTACGCTTTACATGCTCATTTTCTTGATGCTCTTGGGTCTCTCCCCTCTACCTCTACACTGCGTGCCTATTGTGTCATGTGGATTGATGGACATGTTTTTATTGCCTTGGTGTCCTTGATACTTGAACCTATTTTTGCTTACTTTTTATCTTTCGTGCTTATTTTATGTGTTACCTGTTTTTCATATTTTGGAAAATGTAATAAAACATATATTTACCTAAAAAAAACAAAAACATCCTGCTGTCTCAAAAATGTGATATTTTTATTTTTTTTATTTTTTTTTATAAAATATATTTTACACACTAACTTCTTAGCATCCAGAGCAGTCTTGTACCTGATCATTTGTGTTTTGGCGAAGCGTTTGAAATGAATGTTTTGCTTACTAATGGTATTTTATTTTTTTCAGCTAATGGGAACAATAAAATATTTAAAGGAGATCGCTCCCCCTGTTCTCCATCTCGAGTTCTTCACATCCGCAGGATTCCAAATGATGTCACAGAGTCTGAAATCATCTCATTAGGTCTGCCGTTTGGAAAAGTCACGAATCTGTTGATGCTGAAAGGAAAAAGCCAGGTAAACAACATTCCATATAATGAAATTGTCTGTCATTCTGAAACGCATGGAAAAGTGCTTCACGAGTGTATGGGGATTATCTTCTAAAATACAGCCGGATGGGTAATTAGGCTAAGCATGGCATGAAAACTCATTTAGAGCTGCAGCTAACGATTATTTTCAAAATCGATATATGCCAGTGGTACAGCAGGGTGGCTAATGGTTAGTACTTCTGCCTTCAGTGGAATACTTTTTTAATTTGCACTGAGAATGATGTCTACATGGACCTTTTGTATATTCTCTGCATTCTGCTTGTAATTGACTTCTTATCCAGTTAGTGTGCGCTGGTATTCTTTAGGTAAATATGTTAGATATATACAGTATATCCTAGTAAGTTTACAGCTTCAGTGAGATAATATAGTGTGAAAATAAATAAAATGTGTGATGCATGCATCATTTTAGCTGTTCAAAGATTTCTGCTGGTCCTAATTCAATAGCCAGTAGATTGAAGCTGCAGTTTTGATAATGCTGTAGGGTTTTTCTCTATTATTGCATCTATTTTGCCATTTACACAGTGAGGGGATATAAATTGGAGCAGACGGAATATGGAGCAGCTGTGCATTGCAACCAATCAGCTTCTATATTTAATTTCCAATGCTTAAGTGAAAAAACTGAAGAGAGAAGCTCTACAGGATAGGATATGAAGAGAAATCTCCCTAATGAGTCATAGATGACAAGGAAAAAAACTGACAACAGTTTCCACCTTCTTATACACCTAAATAAATGAAAAACATTTTCCTGTAGTGCTTCTTCTTTTTCTTTTTTCTCAGGAAAATGCTTAGGCTCCAGGCATACAGACCACCTGCATTAAACAAAGTTATCTGGGGAGTCAAAATTATTTTTTTACTTCCCAGATCACCTTTTCCTGCGTTTTTAGATATTCCTGGGTTAAGTCACATGTAGATGCATTTAGCTGTGTAAAACCAGGCTGAACAGTCCCAGGATGCAAAAACAAAAATGTTTATGTAAATGCACCTAGACTCTGCTAAACATCCAGGTGTGCATTCAGCCATAGCAAAGCATTCTTTAGATATGAGCTCCAAATGCACTTGGGCCTCTGTATTTTCATAGCCATGTGCATGGGGCCGTATGCTGTTTCTATATGGCTTGTCATTGAGTTTTTATGTCCTTTTGATAGAACGTTTTAGCACATTAGCCTTGTAGGGCTTAAAGGGTGAGTGCACATCAAAACAAAATGCACTTCTTTTCTCCCCTCCCCACATTCCTGCCCACTGCTGCTCCCTAAATGCATGCTTGCCATCAGGCCATGCTTATTCGGTAGCTCCCCACAGACTTCCACGGGCTCATGGTCCTGTACTGAAGACACTCCCAAGACTGTCCCATAGAAGTCTATAGGAAGCTACTGCACAGGTGCACTGAAGAGTTTCAGGATGGCCTGGCTTCTATACTTAATCACTAACTCTGAACAATCATACAAATCAGGAAAGTCAGAATTTGTGGTCTGCTTGCTTGTTTTAGGTCAGAGAAATCATTGAAATAGTTGGTAATTGCCATGCAACTAGTATTTTTAAATAGAGAGGTCTGCAATGGAGTTCCTATATTTGCCTTTGTGCATGTTTCCCGTAATGTCTGTCTTAGGTTCAGTGCAAAGTATAATCTTGGGTCTTTCTCAGTCCAATGTAGAAAAAGGTTCCTTTTTTATTTTTAAATGATTTTTAAATGAAGATGTGTTCTTGCCAACATACACAGCCAAAGAGAGAGGGCTATGTAAAGAAATAATGGAATAAATAACTATTTGCATTCATGCAGAAATGGGGTAATACACACAGGTTAATCAATTCTGAAATCCCTCTGTTTGAGATCTAAAAATCGGCGAAGGAAGAAACAATAGTGCGTATAGCAACTAATCAGATTGTTATAATCTATACTGTACTGTCTAAAGACCTACACACAGGAAACCCTGTGCTCTCTTCTGCAATGGTTTCTGCCAAATTGTACAGAGCAGAAGACCTGTGATGCAATAGCAGTTGAGTAGTGGGCATAGTGCAGTCTTCTTCATTTGAAAGGCCAGCACATTGCATGTGACACTTGTTATGCCCTTTCTTAGGTAGTCTTCCTGCAGACTAGTGATTTTTAGCCCTTCGTTTATGTGTTTACTTTGTGCACTTGGCTTTCTTTGGCTTACAGCAGGATCTGAAAGTAAACAGCTGACTGCTTTAGGCATACATGCTATTGTTTCTTCCTTTGCTTTTTATAGATCAAACAGAGGGATTTCTGAATTGATGAATGTGTGTGTATTAACCCCTTTTAATGCAAATAGTGCTTTATTCCATTATTTCCTTACATAGCCCGTTCTCTTTGGCTGTGTGTGTATAAGGCTTTTATATTGTCAGTAATTGTTATCTCTATGTTTCCCACATACAAATCTAGGAGTGCATTTCAGTATAAATATATCAGGTTTTCTTTTGTTTGTACTTTTTGGGGTTTTTTATTTTCCTAAAACATGCATTTTAGGCTGTCAAAAAAAGAAAAATACACCCACATAAGTCATACCTCTAGCCATTATCTCAAGATTATAGTGCTTAATAAGCAATTTAAGGTATTGTGTATTCTCTGATTTTTGCAGGCCTTCTTAGAAATGGCTTCTGAAGAATCCGCTGTCACAATGGTGAATTATTACACTCCTCTCACTCCTCATCTCCGCAGTCAGCCTGTCTATATTCAATATTCCAATCACAGAGAACTGAAGACTGACAATCTGCCTAATCAATCGGTAAGTATTACTTTTAGTAAAATCATAGGACATTACCCTAAACAGCTCAGCTGATTTCCAGAGGAGTATCGCTGGCCTTGCCTACACTTTTATCTGACTGGTACTCCATGTACACGCCCTGTGGCCTTGCACATACTTGTGGCTTAACTAAAACACGTTAGAAAGCCTTTCCAAGTACTTGGTGCTCCAGGGACTTTCCAGAAAGAATAGGCCAGTATAAGTTAAAGAGATTCCATCAGGGGGAAAAAACAATAAAAAGGTGGCAGGTATAAAGTACAAGCAATCTTTGGCATCTGCACATACCTGCAGAAGCCTCAAAGTCTGCTTTTGCGGACTCTGACAGGCAAAGCTTAGGTTGGTTACACTGGTAGATTTTCAGTTAACATATCAAACATTCGGTAATGCCATTATAGACTTGATGGATGTCGTTCAAAATGTCATTTTATTTTAACATTCGATTTTGGACTGAATGGAGTTTCCCAAATGAAAAATTAGAATTTCCTTCATTTGAGAAAAAAATGTCTATCCTTTTTCAATTCTTTCCTTTACTTTTTCCTCTTCCTTTCCTATGGTCCAAATGATCAGCAATTTACCCCATTAACTATTAAAAAAACTATTTGCTTGATAATGAACACAATTCTACTGTTGTATGTCCAGTTTTAGACACTTTCTGATGGATCCGAAGATTGCCTGCCCCTTCCTGCCTCCTGCACATTCCTATTGACTGCTGGGAGTCAATAGGAAACTGGAGTGTGGGAGATAACAGAAAGCTCTGGCTTTAACTAAAAGTGCTGAAGCTCTGCCTGACACAATGGCTCGTAATTTGGCTAGAACTGCAGTGTTTTAGGGGGCTGCTTTAGAAATGTGTAGGCACCTGCAGTAATTGTTTTTGCCCGGTTCTAAGGATACAGGTTTTAAACTCAAACCTGTGGTAAGAGAAATGTGGAGACTTCTATTCTTCCTTCTAAAATCATTAGTTACCTGGGTGTCTCTACTGATTTGTAGTTTCTGGGTAACTAACTCCCAAAAAAGCTTATGCCTGTTCTTATTTTTGGTCAGGAATTTGGCCATTGGATCCGTATGAAAACCAGGCAACTAGTATTTTTACAGGAAATGGTCAGCAGTGGCAGCCTACTTATTTATTATAGCAGAGGTATGAATGGAGAGATAATCTCATTCTGTGTCCTATGTTAAGGACGCATGGGTTTCTTCAGTCTGTAGGTCTCTTTTCCTGGCAGAAAATGTTGTACAGGCTTCTGTAGAACCCACCTATAGGGTAAGCAGAGGATGCACTAACCAAATGGCCATCAGAGTTCATGGTGCAGCCTTTTAAAATAAGTATTAAAGTAAAATTACACCACTACATTTTTCCCTTTTCACATCAGTGGGGTTGATTTAGTAAAGGAATAGAAACTGTTGAGTTGGCAAAGGGAATGTTTATCTAGCTTAAAGAGAAAGTAAATCACTAATAAAAAAATAAATAAAAATATATATTTAACCCCAGGAGCTGTTTGCCATAATGTTACTATGCACACCATATTAGCACATTATGACAGGTTTTCCTGCAAAAGTGATCCATTCCCCTCGGTTTCTGGTGCTTCCTCCTTCATCCTGGTCCTGTTGCGAGTCTTCAGCCGCGCATGTGCAGTAACTCCTCTGCGCAGGACTTAGTTCAGCTTGGCAAGAATCCTACCAAAATTGTGCACTGAGCTGTGCATGCACCATTCAAAGTACAGTTTAAGAAAAAAGTGCTGACAGGCAGGGAGAAACATCTATGCCAGAAAAGACTGCAGCCTGTTACATAAAAAAAAAAAAGCCTGCCTGTCAGCACTTTTTAAAATGTTATTAAGATAAATCTGTTCACTTCATTAAACCAATCACTTGCTTGAAAAAGTCCCAATTTGTAGTTTTTTTTATTCCCTCTAATGCATGATTAGGGTGATGATATTCAGAAGGTGAACCTGTGTTTACTTTGCATAACTAATCATTCACTTCTGTAGAGAGAGCCTCTTCGTCTTTAGTCAATCAACCCCATAGTGTTACAATGAAGTGGCAAAATTCTCCAGAACACTAACATGATTGGCAAACTACAGTGACTTCCTGTAGCTCTGGGTA